GATTTATAAGATTTTACAATAATTTGGCAAATATCTAAAGAATTTTTTGTGTTATTTTATACTTTTTTTTAATTAATTATTCTTTTAGAAAGAAATCTTTTTTTTTTTTATTTCGAAGTTGTATTCTGTAAGATGATTTGAAACAATCTCAAGACTTAAATAAATTTCCATTTCTCCAATCACGACACTATTTAATATTGTTTTAATATTGTTTACCATATTTTATTTTATTACGGACCAACAAATCTTACTCTATTTTTTTTTTCCTTGATATTATAATGTTATTTATAGATTAGGGCTTGAAATTTTGGGCGTAACAGACTAACATGATTAATTAGTGACAAATGCTAAAAAAAGAAAATACATATATATTAAAACGTATTTATCAATTATTCATTATTTAATGGTCATTTATTATACATATTTTATCGAAAGTTAATTAAACTGTAGATCAGGGATACGGAAAAAATGTGATTTTATTTAAAGGATTTGAAATTTCTATAAATAAAATCACACTTTTTCCGTATCCCTGCTGTAGATTATTATATGAAAAAAAGTCATCATCGTTAGTTCTAGTATACAGTATTTCGCTGATAATTAATATTGGATTAATTAACTCTAAATCAGGTCTACACGAACCAAACATCGCGCAAAAATCAATTACGTTTTAGACTCATACAATCAATTTCGTAATGTTATTTTATCGTATAATGCTCGTAGTCATACATTCTTTTTTTTTTCTTTACTTGGGCAACATTAAAAAATAAATATTCAAATGCTATGATTTTTTGTACTACAATCACACTAATATTATATGTCTTCATGAAAAAAAAGTTTGGTGCGTTAAACATAAAAGTTAGTAAAACTAAAACGTGAAGAAAAAAAAATTATCATTTCTGTTTAATTTCTAAGAAAATATGATATAGAAAATTGAAGCCACAATTTTTGGTTTAATTTTTGATTTAATTTTTGATTTGTATCACTACGCTGAGGCAGGTGAATGGACAGATGCCCATGAGGAAGAAATTTCTCCGAGTGTTTAAAGATGTACTAAATTTATTTCTCTAATAATAGAGAATGATTGAAAAAAATTTAGAAATGAGTTGAACCATATTTGATTGATGAATTATTAGTTTCTTTGGATGTGACTAAAAAATTCTTATGTAAATTCGTTTATGACAAACCTGACTTATGTGTAATTTGTCAGGATTCGTACGTACCATTTCCTCACGAAATTCACATGTATTGTCATGTATCAAATGGAGCAGACATTTTTCAAAGTTTGAGTATAAGGTGGTATGTAGATTGTAAATGTATTAATGTCTTCTTAACGAGAACATGGCAGTAACAGTTTATTGATTCTGTTGAAGTTATGTGTTAGTCATTGGTTAGCATATTCTTGAAAATCTATTTTGAAAAGAAAAAACCTTATCATTGTACAAATTTCTTAAATATATAATATTCTACATGTAGGTGTCAAAAGCATTTTATTATATCCGATCTTCATTAGAGTTTTGGTATATTTTACTTCTTCATTGTTTCAAAGAAAGTCAATATTTGTTGCATATTACTAATTTTTTATGATTATAAAACTGTAAAGATTCTTTCATAATTGACAAAGCAAGAACCTAATGAAAATCTTTTGCTAATCAAAGCATTGGAAATTTCGAGAAAGTTTTATTTAGAATAAAGTTTTTTTATTGCTTTTTTAGAATCATATTAACATGCAAAATTTAGTATATATTAGTAATGTAATCAATCGAATACAAAATAAATATAAAAGACATAAAATATGCAATCCAATATGTTCTTAATATTTGATGATAACACAAAATAACAGAATGAAATATTGAAGACTGTTAAATTTCATTCATCAAGCAAGGACGAGAAAAAAATTAAAAATAAAATTATTTGCAAGAAATCCCAAGAATACCACTAGAATGAATGTAAAAGTCTTGACAATCTTATCAAATCTAATTGAATACTAAACTCTTTAATTCATTTAGCCAGGGATTGTTTCTTTTTAAGATTAGAAAATGAATCGTGGTCACATGTTTCTATTTAGTTTTAACCAACTTAACAATTTAGAACTTAAGGCGAAGATCCGGGTCTAGAATTAAAGCTCAATGAAAAAGACAACATAATTAATGAATTATCAATAATATTTGAGCTCAGCATAGAGCATGGCATGGCATCATGGGTCCTTTCAAGCTCCAGAATTGTTATATAAATGAAAATATAACATGGTGTTTACATATTTTGGAACTGGTCGACCAGATTCTTCCAAAGACACGGTATAATCTAATGATGAATCCTAAATATGAAAGAATGTTTAGGAACTTGTCAATTAAAGAATGCTATCAATACCGAATCAACCTTGAATTTGGAACGCATTTTAAAGGATATAATTGCCGAAACAAATTTAATTTATTAGTAAAGGAATATAATATATATATATATATATATATATCGATATAGATATTTAAAAATTAAAGTTTTAATATAATAATAATAGATGGAATACAGATGCTGGCATTGTAAAGAATGTTATAAAAATTGGAGTATATAAAAATGTAATAGATTCATAAAGTGACTTAAGAACGATGATAGGAAACATTGGAATTACACTGCAAAGTCATCTGTATATAAAAATCATTTGCTTGGACCAAAAAATCATACTCTGCATTATAATGAAGATTTTTATCCAATTCCTCGCACGCAATAATATGTACTGTTGAAATTAATGAATAGTATAACCATTCTCTAGATATGGCAATTGATACATCGGGTTCATCAAACATCTACATTATCAATCATTCAAACCTCCCCAAGTTCACCGTCAAGAACCAGAAAGATAAATGATGTAAGTTCTTTTTGCACAAGGAAGAGGACTAAATAAGAATAATGATGATGCAGTTGGTGGTTTCTTCAGAAATGTAACAGGGACATCTATCAAAAGACAGCGATATATTGTGCGCCCGAAGGCCCGTTCCCAATACTGCAGCATAACGTGATTACGGATCATGAGAATTGCGAGTTAAATGAGATTTGTTGGCTTTCATTTATCGATTACAAGGCATTCATTTTTCTGTAATTAAAAATTATCATAAATTTTGTAGGTGGATATGAACATCTGTAAATTCAGAATCAACTTATGATAATTCAGAATCCATTCAAGTAGATTTTCGATCTTTTACGCTTAAATAAGTGAATAATTAAATAAAATTTATTATATTTAAAAAAATAAAAATATACTAGTAATAAAACGGCGACGTTTTATAGGGCTGGAGCCTTATGTATTAGGTTCTAAATTTTTAAAAAAATTGTAAAATTAATATTGTAGCTTATCTAATATCACCAAGCTAATATATCGATATGATAAAAATTTAATTCATTAATGTGAGCTGCACATCTTATAAGTTTATATTAATGC